GAGTAGAAAATGAAGGCTAATCATGTTTTGGGTGTACTATTCCTTTAAGGGAGCTGCTGTGTGCCGACGACGCGTCACCTAGAATGCACACGCATGGGTCAGCGCTGAACACACTGTCATTTCGCTGATGAGCAGTTTCTCCTACTGCTAGGCTGTGGTTGGCATGGCTCCTCTCTGGTGACAAGAAGAAATTCTTGTCTCCATAAGCGGCAATAGCTTTTGGTGCTCATGGTTTAATATTTAAATACAATCTCTGCAGACGATGAGGAAACAAATAACAGATTTCTAGTTATGTGTGCTGATCCTGGTTCCTGATTTTGAACATCAATCAGGATGTAAATAAATCTACAACTGATACACAGATATGATGCGCTGTAAAACCTCTGCAGAGTCATGATTATAAGGATGTAACATTATTTGTGGAGGCGTGATTAGTAGTAAACGTAGCACGGCACTGACAGGAATAAACCTGCAGTATTTCCTGCTGCCTCTGATTATCAATTCCTGTCATGAAAGGTTTAAAAACAAACTATGGAGGATAGAATATTCATACCAGTGTTATTTAAAGAACACCAGGAAGACTGGAAGTATTTCAGAGGCAGTAATGAGTTTGATGAGGCATGTGAAAACATTCCATTCATTTTTACATGAACTTTTACTTCCTTTACTCATTAACCCATTGATCTCCTGCTCTGGTAACAGCTGTGGGGTATGGAGGACTACAGAAGTCCAGATTCCTTCTGTACTCTAGGTTTTATGCAGAGAAATGATCAGTAGGAAGACAATTTTTCTGATTTTAGAAATGAAGAACTTTGGCTTTGTTCTGTCTGATTTTTTATTTATTTTTTTGTTATTATGAGCTGCTGGTTGAGCAGAAGTTGCTCAGAGGTCACCGGTTTGATAGCAGGGCTCAATGTTTGATGTCCTGTTGATTAGGAATGACGTGTGTGAAACATTACAACACTGATAAACACGCTGATAAAGATCAGTATGTTTCTAGGTCGCGACTTTAGACTTTGGGCTTATTGCTCAAAAAGAACTGAGCCTCGTACTGCGACTCTGCTTCAACGCATTTCTATACGGTTTCCAGCTTAACTGACATGATTGTAAATTGTAACGGTAGAAAATTGTGGTTTAAAAAAAAATTCTGTATTACATGATGGTTACATTAGAGGACTGTGCTTTTATTTTGAAAAGGGTCCGTTAAAAAAACAGAAGTTAGCTTAACGCAAAAAGGGACGCAGAAAAGAAGCAAGAAAACGTTGGAAGAGAAACTGATTAAAAGACCACGGAAAGTCATATAATAAAGTTTAAAGCATCAGTCAATTGGGGAACAAGGTTTGTGTTAATTAGAAAATGTTTAATACAGAAAAGTTACAAATGTAATGAGCTAAGCATGGTGTACTAAATTGTACATTGGTTGGAGGCACAGACGGCTCAAATAAACCTTTCAACCACCAGTTCTGGCCTTTTCTAATTGCACTGGATGCTACACAAATGAAGAAAAAATCTAGACAAATAAATCTGGTCGCAAAAAAAGATTATAAAGGTGCATTTAGATGTTTAGCGTTGTTTCTGCCAAATCATCCAAGTTTAAATGTAAATTTTAGTATTTTCTGTTTAAATCTGAAGCGATATACACACAACCGGCCAGCAGAGGGCGATATTGCATCAGCCTTAGTTCATCCTCTAATATTCAAACTCTCACACTACATTGGTTTTTATTTTGATAACATTTCAGACTTTTGTGTACATAAATGCACCGAGACAATGGCTATTTGTTTGGAAACTATTTTCACAGGATGGTCTCTGTTTCAGGATTATAAGAAGATAGAAATTTTACTTTATTGATCTCAACCGGGGAGCAGTGTGGGGTTAAGGGTCTTGCTCAGAGGGTCATTGTTGTCCTGGCGAGATATTTTGTTCCCCTACATAGCAATGGGGGTTGAGATGGTTTTGGGCAGGAATCAACAGTTTTGCTGCATTGTAGGTTTTTGAGAGCTGAACCTTATTCCACCCCCTCTGTTTAATCAGGGAGCAATCAGGGCAAGGGCGTAGGTTTAATTTCAACTTTGGTAGGGACACTATTCTTCAGTTTCAATGGTCCTTTGCAAAAATATGCATGCTCTTTTTTTATGCTTAATGTGAGCTTCAGGGCTCATTTTGTTTAAAGAGAACAGCAGCATTTCTTGCTACATTAATACAAATCTTATAAGC